CCATGAACAAAAACTTGACTATATAGACCTGGCGTGTGGAAACATGGCACGGCGTACTTCAATAAATGACAACTAGACAAGGCAAACATGAGGGCTTAAATACATGATACAGATGAGCACATGACTATCACAACCAATGAACAAACAAAACTAATGAAACAAGAACCAATCAGAAAATGACACATTAGACGAGGGAAGCACATGACATGATCACATGAGGGCAAGGGAAACACCAAGAACCTTGACCAAAAATAAGCAAAATAAAATAAATAAAAACATAAACTTGAAGAAACAAAACTGCAAGACAGACATGATAATATTAATCCAGATATGTCCTTTTATATATATATATATATATATATATAAAAAAAAATACAATAAATGAAATAAAATAGCAAAATAAAATAGGTTCTAAAACATTTTTAAACCATTAGCATTTTATTTGTGTGGATATTTCTGAAACTCCTATTTACAGATACTCCTATATGCCTTTGAAAATAATACATGAGTCTACATTAAGCCAGAGATGTTTTTCTTTGTAGAAACAAGGATGGAAAAAAAGAGCCCATTAATGAAATGCTTCAACAATTAGCGCTTGTCTCAGGGTTTTACATATGCTTCATAATATCATCTACAAAATATCTTAGCCTCTGTTGTTGTGTGTCTCATATGCTTTGTGCTGCCGTATACGTTCACTACTGTAAACCCCAGCGGCTCTACTATCTTCCCCGGCTCTTCGCCTTTAGAACAAAGGTGCTATTCAGTGCAGCAGGACAGGTAAGAGCACCCAAATGGAGCTCAAGTGGGCACTAGGCTTCTTGACTAAATACTCAATGAGCATTCTAATCTTCCATTCTCTGCCTCCTATTCCATTTTGATAATGTACCATCGCCAGCAGCTGCTAAAAGCCTGAGCGAGGAGAGGGAGGGGTATTACAGGACATTTTTTGGATGAAAACAAAACGAGAAAGAGGTCGTCTTTAAGACGCTTCTGCGGAGCCGTTGCAGGCATATTACACTTCAAGATTTCCTAAAGGGCAGCACATTCAGCTCCTGTGGTCCAAAAATGGCAGAAAATCTGAAAAATATTCAGCAATGCATATTACGGTTCTTCCAATGTCGTTGTCTTCTTTTTTACTTTTCACCCCCCCCCCCCCCCCGATCCCATCCCACCCCACCCCCATGTCCACAGCCTGCCATTACAGAAAATTACAACTTATATGTCTACATTCTTGGAAGTGGATAATTGGACGGAGGCCCATTATCAAGCACTCAAGCCATGCATGGAGCTGTATTTCCTGCTTTTAATACTCTTACTCTTTCCTGCTTTAATTTTTGGCTTTAAGAAATATGTATACTGTAAAATAGAAAAAGATGTCAGCCAAAATGATGTCTTCATCAGCAGGAGTTTATGAGTCATCATGGGACTCTTTTCATTTCTTCTTCTTTTTTTTTTTTTGTTTGGGTAAAACTTACTGCTTAGCAAAAATCTGAAGAGAAGTCAAGTCATTCTTCTTATTTCAGGACTCATGGCCACATTTCACCCCCAAATCAAAAGGAGAACACTTATTTTTTCAAAACTAAATCAACATAAATAAGTACAACAAATAATAGCGTAATGTATAAATGCTTTTTTTCCCATTACAGTAATCACATGAGCACTGGGGGGGGAAATGCTCTATATGTCTATATGCCATGATGGAAAGATCTTTATGGTTAAAAAACTAGGATATCCTTTAAAAATACTTTTTTCCCCTTATGTTTGATTTTGAGGTGAAATACTATATTCCCCAAACATTTTCGTGACAGGTTTTTGTGAGATTAACCCATGTACAATATAGAAACATGGTGGCAAAATTTCTAAAAGAACGGCAGCTGACCATAGACTAAACGACTAAACAATAAAAGCAAGAATGATACATACAGTGCTATACAAAATTGCACAATGCACATGTCAACTGAAAGGCTGTAGGCCCATTGTTTTATAAGTATATAGCGCTTTTAAAATGGCTAAAGTTCTTCAAAATGACGCTAGTTAAGGAGCAGAATTAGGGGTTTGGGAAATATAGGAGCATAGGAGGTCTATCTGAAAGGTTAGCTGGCTTGTCACATGGAGTTGTTGAGAAGACTGACAGCTTGTGGGAAGTCTGGTAAATGAGGAGACAGTGTTCACAACAGGGTTACAGAATGTGTAAGTGCTCAAAAGATTTGGATAAATCTTTTCAGATACAATATGTATTTGGCTTTCCTATGATTACCTCCTTTAAATAAGTCTGCAATTAAATCAAGAATGCACATTATGACTGCAAAATCTATGCAGATATCCAGCAGTGTATGTCCCTGCAGCGTATGAAAGTGTGTGTTATAATATGTGCAAATGGATGCCTGAGTAGCTCTCATTATATGGTTCCCAGTGTTACTAGGGTCTAGGTCATGTGTGCTTACAAATCCATCTGCAATATTTACAGCCAGTTTAACCCTTGGCCTTGAAGGAACCTTAAGTGAAGGCAAAATAGCGTTCAAGTAAAATATCCATTTCAAGAGAATGCCGCATTATAACAAACTATTCACACGACCAGCAACCATATTAATTGCAATATTGAGGTTTTTTTTTTTTACAGCTGCATGAACACATTTGTTAGTTTGCGCAAGCCCTTAGTTATGGGTTACCACTACTGAGACACATGAATGTCAAAACCAGAGAAACTGAACAAAATCCCCGGAGGAAGTTATAATTTCAGTGCAATCAATTCAGCATTTTGTCACAATTGGAAAAGGTGAGATTTGTGTGGAACTTTAATTAGGAGCAATTTGTATATTGAAGTAATTGCATAATAACCCATTAAAACTTTCACCTCTCAGCGATTTCCGAATGCATTTGTTGATTTGAGAACAATGTGGTTTCAAATGCAAACCATGGTTCAAAATAATCAAGTTTTAGGTCTTGCATGTCAAAACGGTCGAGTTTATTCATTATTTGCCTTGTTCACAATATTGAAATAATAATAAATTAATTTTTTTTGACAAAACATGTTAGTAGTAGCTTGCTAATGCAAATATCACTGAATTTGTATTAAGATAATGGATGTGAACAGACCTCTAACTCTTATTATTTAACTTGGGGCGCACAACTAATCATGTGGCTAGTTGAGGAAAAGTGTACTAGTACATTTCAATGGGATGACTTACGATTTTTATCTGGCGAATGATGAGCGGAAAATCCCATAGATTAACAGCAAAGAAGGGACCCCAACCAAATCTACATGATACTATTATAAACACTTGGGGGTGGTTTAATTCTGTTGACGAATTAAAACCCATCCACAACAACCTAACATTGTGGCGGCAAGTTTAGCATTTTCTTCAAAAATATTTTAAAATGTACTTGCTAATATAGATAAAACTACATTTTTTTATTTGTTTGTTTAATAATTGATTGAATTTTGCAACATTGGTTTTTATCAGTTGTAAAGAAACACTACGCGACTATACACTGAATTCGTGTTTTGTAGTTTACACAGAGGCATCTTTTTCAAAAACTTGCAAACTTTTGAAAATGGGTTTCAAAGTGTGTTTTCTGTCTCCCAAAACCCGTGTAAAAGAATGACCAAAACTCATAAAAAGTTTTCCGGTTTTTGTTTGAAAAATGGTGTCGTGTAAATGGCCCATGAGATGATTAAAATGCAATTTTATGCATCACTTTTGCTAAGGCCAGGAACATTTTCTTATATAAAAATCAGACATATTGGCAGCAAACCATTTAACTCTTTATTCAATCAACCTTGTTGGCTCCGTTTCTAATCACTGCCCACAAAATCCCAGCAGGGATACTCAGGTTCCATGTCAGAGCCTCCACCGGATGCACAGGCTATCCGAGGACATCTGAGATGCTCGGCCATCTGGGTTAAACGTTGGTATAAGTCATGCTTTGTCGCTGATGAGACGTGTTTTGTGGTGGCTCTGACGCTTGGTGCGAAAGGAGACTGGAAAAGGGACAGCTGTTGCTGGAGAGGCACAGAAGAACAGTTCCTGCATAAAGCACGAAACATCCAAGAGGTTTTCGACAAGGAATCTTTGCTTTCCTTTGAAAAATCAAATCGAATCCTTCAGATTTCAAACTGTAAGACTAAACCATAGATGTCCAGCCAGCTTATACATTGTTAACATATCTGAGAATAATTTCCTATTGTCATTTATGTCTTTTTTTTTCCCAGTCCTCGAGCAACAGCGCACACTAACGCAAGTATAAAAGCAGATGTGCGTTGCAGGCCTGACCTTGGTTGCTATGGGTACTAGGGACAGACTTATATTCAACCGCCTGCCTGAGTTCCTGCTAATTACCGTTGTCATAGCAACGAAGCACCTGATGTAATGGTAGGAAAGGGCAATAATCTTACAAGGGTCCATTTATTTATAGGGAGCTATTCCACCCTGTGCCTGTCAACTTGGAAACGGACTCAGATTAAGTGCTAACACATCAAACAATAATGTTCATATAAAAAAATATATATATATAAAAAAAACATGCATTCAAGCACACATAGGGTAATAATTTTGTGCAATTTCCTGCAACAAACAGATATGGTTATACATTTCTGTTTTTAACACTTAAACTAATCACAAAATACAGTGGGGACAAAACGGCTGAAACCACAAGAGAAAATGGTTCAACTTTTTTCTAATTTAATACAATTCTCTTTTCATTTATATTTTTTATTGTTTATTATCAGCATACCAATGTAAGGGAAATGATGATTTAAAAAAAAAATCACAACTTTCCCTTTTTCCCATAAATGTTCCCTTTTTACTTTAATGACAGCAATGCTCAAGCTGCATGAACTTCACATATTCAAAACCCGATGATCCATGATATCCAGCATGATCACTGTCACTTTGTTTATTTCTTGGTTTGATTTTGAATCCCAGGGTTGCATTTTAAATAATGCAGCCATGCATAGCTGAAAGCCGTGCATGTACTAATAAGAATGAAAACAGACATGGTGACATCTTTACACTTTAATTATTATCAAAAATGTAAATAACATATTAACAGCACTGCAGCTGCAAAAAAATAAAAAACAAAAAACATTACTCTCAATTCCGCATTCAACTCTCAAACAGCGTTGACCTGAATTAATTCCACATTCAACCTCTCTATTCAGACTGGATGGTCAAAGATAATGCAGAGAAAGACAAACAAGACTTCAGGGTACAAGGGGTTTCTTCCTCCTCACATCCTTCGTGCTTTGCGAGGGCGACAGCCATTGTGCGGCACTGGGGTGTTGTCGGTGATGGAAACAACCTCTAGTCCTCCCATGGTTAACCCTTTAATGGCAGACTACACACGGGGAGCAAAATCAATGCAGGCCAAGTCAGCTACGAGATTCAGTTCACAGAAATACACTCTTTCCAGAAGAGGCATGTGTGGAACAGACGTGTATTCAATGACAAAATTATCCAATGAGTCCTTCTTGAACTTTATTTGTGAAAGCTGCCGATTTAGCCAAAAATAAAGTTAGTAGTGTAATATTTATATTAGGGATGCTTAATATATCATTCAGCACCGTATCTAATATTTTTTTTGGAGGATGTAACAAACTGTTAAATGTAATCTATAACAAATCTGAAAACGAATATTGATTTTTCAAACTGCACATTATAATGTTGTGATGCCTAAAATAAATTATAGCATTTTAAATGTTTGATTTTAGCTTTCAAGGTTTTAATTTTAATTTATTTAGACAGAATAGTCTAGAGTATATTCAGCTATTTACCAGCCACAACAAGAACAAAACATCGATGTTGAATCCAATCTATTTTTGCTACAACAAGCACAAGTATTTACCTTGGCTTGCCTATTTAGTAATTTGATTCAAGTAAGTTAGCACTGCAGTCGGTGGCTTTGCATTGATTTATGTATGCCCAACCACCATCTACTTAAATGCAACTTAGTCTGGAAGCTTCTGACTGCGTAAAAACCAAGGGTAGGTAAGAGTAATGCAAGTCTTAAAAGCCCCCTGTTGCCGGCTGCTCTGGAGGGGCTCATTAGATTCTCACCCAGCCTTAATGTCCTCCCACCCGGCTCAGAGTAAGAGCATGCAGGCCGCCGCTGAGCTCACAGAACTCATCATCGGTCAGTTTCAGAGTATTGATTGAACAGTCAGCATGCACAACTGTTGCCTTTCCATATGGGCACATACAGAGAATAAATAATCATTGCTGCCATTCTACTGAAAGGATCATGAAAAGATACACACGCGGTAGGCCTATACAGTCAACTAGATTTAAATTTTTTCTTAAAGAGGACTCATTATGCTTTTTTTTTTACATTTTAAACTTTCTTTAGTGTGTAATGTTGCTGTTTGTTTGAGCATGAAAATATGCAAATTGTAGTCTTGAGTTTTCTTCCGGGAACATACACATCACAATATTACTCATTTAAATAATTCCAAATACATACATGCAAAATAAAGATGTGTTGTTGCCATGTCCAAGAGATGCTGTTTTTTCCACTCCAGATCAAATGTATAGTTATGGGAAGGGGTATACCATTTCTGAAACAGACTCAAAGTGGTTGACCAATCACAACGCACTGATCCTGCCAATCAATCAGAGCACATTTTGCTTTTTGGAAGGAGGAGTCTTCATTTAGACAGGAACTAAACAGAGCGTTACTGACAGACTAGGAAAAGAGGTGCTGCAACAGTGTAAAATATATGTTTTTTTTTTACATTCCAGTATGAAAACCTATTCTAGTAGATCCCAAAAGCTAAATCAAGACTTTGTAAAAGGGTCATAATAGGTCCTCTTTAAGAAAATGTGACTGTCTGTGCAAAAGTTGCTGCTATGACACTTTTCTGTGTCCCTGTGCAGTTGGGTGGTCTGGTTGGTTCTCAATTCAAAAGAGCTCTACTAAGTCTTAAAGGGATACTCCACTTTTTTTGGAAATAGGCTCATTTTACAACTCCCCCAGAGTTAAACTGTTCAGTTTTACTGTTTTTGAATCCATTCAGCCGATCTCCGGTTCTGGCGGTACCACTTTTAGCATAGCTTAGCATACATCATTGGAGTGGACAAGACCATTAGCATTTCTAAAAAAAAAATGACCAAAGAGTTTCGATATTTTTCCTATTTCAAACTTGACTCTTCTGTAGTTACATCGTGGACTAAGACCGACGGAAAATGTAAAGTTACGATTTTCTAGGCTGATATGGCAAGGAACTATACTCTCATTCCTGCGTAATAATCAAGAAACTTCACTGCCGTACCATGAGAGCAGCAGGCGTAATGATATGACGCAGCGCCTGAAAATAGGCCACCTTCCTTCAACACAACGGAACTATTTTCAGCCGCTGTGTCATATCATTACGCCTGCTGCACTCATGGTACGGCAGTGAAGTTTCTTGATTATTACGCAGGAATGAGAGTATAGTTCCTAGCCATATCAGCCTAGAAAATCGTAACTTTACATTTTCCGTCGGTCTTAGTGCACGATGTAACTACAGAAGAGTCAAGTTTTAAATAGGAAAAATATCGAAACTCTTTGGTAATTTTTTTTTTTAGAAATGCTAATGGTCTTGTCCACTCCAATGATGTATGCTAAGCTATGCTAAAAGTGGTACCGCCAGAACCGGAGATCGGCTGAATGGATTCAAAAACGGTAAAACTCAACAGTTTAACTCTGGGGGAGTTGTAAAATGAGCCTATTTACAAAAAAAGTGGAGTATCCCTTTAATGATATTCTGGTCTATTTGCACTCCGTGCAGCAGTGTTTAACATCACTTCCACTGTACTAGTCTTTTATTTTTTTTCTTGTTTTTTTATTTTTTATTAGTGGTGTCATCCTCTGGGGGTTAAGGATCTGAACAAACAAACACCAACAAAATGAAACTTTGTTGAGTTTTGTTGAAAAGAGGTGTACCATTACACATTTCATTTCATGATTAACTGGGTGGAAAAAATCATATACACATACACTACTGTTCAAACATTTGAGGTTATTTTTAAGAAATTAATACTTTTACTCAGCAAGGATGCATTCAATTGATTCAAAGTGACAGTAAAGATATTTATAATGTTAGAAAATATTTATATTTTGAATACATGCTGTTATTTTTAAATCTTAAATCCACAAAAATATTAAGCAGCACAACTGTTTTTTATCAATGATAATAATAATAAGAAATGTTTCTTAAGCAGCAAATCAGCATATTAGAATGATTTCTGAAGTATCATGTGACACTGAAGACTGGAGTAATGATGCTAAAAATTCATCACATAAATAAATTACATTTTAAAAAATATTACAACTATTTTAAATTGAAATAACATTTTACAATATTAATGTATTTTTTATCAAATAAATGCAGCCTTGATGAGCATAAGAAACTTCTCTCAAAAACATTTAAAAATCATACCAACCCCAAACTTATGAATGGTAGTGTATATTGAAGGAGGGACACGGGTCTTATCCAAGGACTTTGCACTAAAAACACTCAGAACACATTAGCAGTCCCAAAGCCCGCCCACAACATGCAACTTTCACAATACACAAGCATGATTTTCTTTAGAAAATGTAAAATGTAGACAATACTATCTTTTTTTGTATAAATTATTAATCACATGTTTGTTCTCAACAGCTGCTATTTTCTACATTTCTTGCTCTTTTTTTTTTTCTTTTTTTTGTGGATATAAATAAGTGGTGAATAACAATATGTGACCCTGGATCACAAAACCAGTCACAAGTAGCACGGGTATATTTGTGGCAATGGCCAACAATACATTGTATGGGTCAAAATTATCGATTTTTCTTTTATGCCAAAAATCATTAGGATATTAACTAAAGATCGTGTTCCATGAAGATATGTAGTAAATTTCCTACCGTAAATATATAAAACATTTATTTTGTGAGTGAATGCAGCACAATCGCAAACATAAATGGAAAACTTTAAAGGCGATATTCTCAATGTTTCGATTGATTCCAATCGAATGCAACCCTCAGATTCCAAATATTGTCCTATCCTAACAAACCATACATCAATGGAAAGCTTATTTATTCAGCTGTCAGATGATGTATAAATCTCAATTTAAAAAAAAATGACCCATGTGACTGGTTTTGTGGTCCAGGGTCACATAGAGAGAATCTTGAACCCTTGAATTACAAATATTTGAATTATTTTACCTTTCACAACAAATGTACAGCCTCTGCAGTTTATTAGAAAACCTAGCGATACTTTTTGTCTTTGAGGTCGGAGTTAAATTATGATGCTGACACCTAAACAGATTCAAGACGGCCTATTTGCATTCAAATGTGCAAAGGATTCACTTTGGTTTTCACACTGTTACAGATAAATTGTCATATGAAAGTCTTATTGCAATCAATGGCAAATATCACAGTTACTACTAATATTACAGTAAGCAATATTCCCTAGCAGTTCTCAACTACAATCTAGTTAAATCTACAAGGAACTAATAAGGATCCATTTTTTGGGGGAGCTTTTTGCTGTAAACCTTTATAAGCGTTAAGTAAAGCCTTAGTAAGCTACTCACCATGCGCCCTGGACCGAGTCCTTTCACCAGCACACGGACGTAGGTGACCCCCTTCGCCCTTGCCTTCTGCTCAAGACAAACATACATACATTTAGAACATTTAGCATAATAAAAACTAATCAATCACTGAGGAAACACAAAACTGCAGGAGCCTAGAATCTGAGGTCTGTCCGAAACTACTAATTTAGATCATAATGCTTGTGTCCATACAGCAAATTAATGGTTATCAGTGTGAAGTCATATACTGATTATACGGCCTGCTGTGACTCAGGGTTGCCATTAGATTCTTCATGCCACACGCTGATGAAATTACAAACAAATAGCGTGGAAGTAAACCGAAGAGAAGTATAAACATGAAATGGAAGATTTGAAATGCTATTTTCAATTTCTCGTTTATCAGCATAAACGTCACTGCAACAGTCAATAAATATACTGCTGATATTCTCAAACAAGAACCAATAATTTTTTTTTTTTTTTTTACGAGGATACATAAACACACAAGACTGTCATATTTAACCAAATATAGTCATTTATAAGTCCTTTATCTTCTAATTATGTTTTTGACTGACCCTATTTCTAATATTACATTACATTTGCAGCGTGACTTTAAGATAAATATTCGAAATCAAGCAGCAAAACCAGCCCAACACAACCTAAAGAAAAGCAGGGTGTGGTATATTACTACAAAGAAATGTGCTGCCATCAAGTGGACGACATCCAAATTACAGACTGGTATTGTGACAAAAAGATGCACAACAACACAAATTAAAAGTATTCTTTAATCCTTCTAAAACAATAATTTTGTCCATCTTACTGCAGCAGCTGAAATCCCAGCGGTCTGTGCTGCAATAGGAGTGGATTTCTTCACATTCTTGAAGCCCTCTGATCCACACGAGGTTCGGACCATGTACTGGCCAGCGCTATCTGTGACCTGGATATGTGTGCTTGAGAAAGAAATTAAGGACAGAAGAGAATCAGCTATATGTTGTCAGACTGCAGTTTCATGGACTCCATCTAAAAAACTAGATGGAGGACAAATCACAGGTTGTGAGCACTCAGGCATACAGCAGTTATTAAGTTTGTGTGTGTGGGGTGAGTTAACTTAAGTAATAATGCAGTAATAGGTATAAATAATTATTATAATGCATACTGCAACTATGAACATCTGTAGCCCTGAGATGAGCACAGTAAATACCGTAATTACATTTAACGTGCATCGAAACTGAACTGCATGATGTTAGGGCATGATATGCAACAAAAACACTTTGACCCACACACTACATGGACAAATGAACAATCATAATTGAGAGCGGATATAAATTTGTGCTATAGCTGCATGCAAACAGCAACCAAACTAATTCTATTTCCATTTGTCAATCACGACAATTTAATTTTGTCAGGCAACTTACTTGTTATATGTGGCTTTTATGTGTGCGATCGGTAACTCTTCGAACTTCTTGCTGTCCCATGTCAGGGAGCTTTCCTGACCCGGAAATGGAGGGAAGAGGCTAAATGGGGAAGAGCAATACACAAAAAATGACAAACATTTTACCATAAAATCTAATACAGAATCATCTATCTATCTATCTATCTATCTATCTATCTATCTATCTATCTATCTATCTATCTATCTATCTATCTATATCTATCTATCTATCTATCTATCTATCTATCTATCTATCTATCTATCTATCTATCTATCTATCGTAACACTTACAATAAGGTTTCATTAGTTAACATTAGTTAACTACTTTTAGTTCATTTGAACTAAGAATTAACAATACTTCTACAGCATTTATTAATCTTAGTTAATGTTCATTTCAACATTTACTACTACGTTTACTATTTTAACATTGTGTTATCACAAATAAAACTATTGACTCCAAACACAACTACGCAATATGCTTACAAAATCTTTAACAAATTTTCAATTATATTTGAATTAATATAGATGCTTAATATGTTTGTGCAAACCATGATGCACTACCATTCATTCAAATGTTTGGGATAAGAAATCTCAGTGGTTCATTTATGCAATTATTTATTGAAGTTTGTGAGCCCCAGGGTTAAAGCTATTTTTGAAAGCAAGTGTGCTGAAATGACTGTCAGTGTTTCTGTGTCTTACTCTTTTAATCGTTTGACTGGTGCTGATGGGCTCCGGGTTTCCACTGGTTTGGCATCAGGCTCTTGTAATCGGATGGCGCTGCATGACAACAGACGCTGAAACCCCACATTTCCACCACTGCAACTGCAAGAGAAAACAACCAATTAGATCCTTTAGTAACAACATATGTCCAGAGTGTGCAGTGCTGGAATCCAGACAAAAGGTGACGACATCAAAAGGTGACTTCATTTTTATTGTAAAATGTGGATTAGTAGTAATAAAGAATGAGTATGTGTGTCCAAGCTTTTCACTTATAGTGAACATGGTACCGTACCCTTGTACTTATACTTAAACACTACCACTGTATAATCATGTTAGATGTAAACAACAACAACATTGTACTAGCATAGTACATGTCCAAGAAACCATGGTGTTATCAAAAAGGCATCATCAACTTACCATATCCAAACCATGGTATGACTGTAGTAATGTCCTAAAAGACATACTGTACCATGCATGGTAGCATAACCAGGGTAATATCATGGCAAATTTGTTATGACAGTGTATGCATTATTAACGTAACTCAAATAAAACGAAATCATTTAGAATATTTGTCTATTAACGTTAACGTTACACAAATAAAAAACACTTGATCAGATGTGCTGCTTTTCCAGCCACATAACTTAAGCCACTTACATTAACCGTCCAGATGAATTTATGCCCTCAAAAAGCTGCTGGCACGAACCTCGAACGAGGCTATATACCCTAAGATACATAATGTGAGTTTTTAATTATGCAGTGTATTCACAAACACACACATTCATGACTTTAGTTGCTTTGCGGACGTTGAGGGTCGCGTAGTGTGTGTGTAATGGGAACGTCACAATTGTACTATTTTTCAGAGGGGTGTTTTACTTACATTTTAGACGCCAACGTATCGAATGCGATTTTAAACGTAGTAAAGTATTTTGTATTAAGTTAACTACAATAATATATCATGCTTGAACTATAGTATTTTCATTTTGTCATTTGTAAATACCACTAAACTTTTGTTTTTTAATAAATCTATTCCCCCTATTATCGAAATAGTGGCGTCTGTTTCGCAAACTCCGCAAAGCACCTTGGGAACACGTGTGGTCAACATGGCGGCGCCCTTCACTAGAGTTTATCGACCGTTCTGGAGGATAATAACTACAACTACATCAAACAGAGGAGTGCGAAATGTTTCGTACACTAGTCAACGGTGGTCTGCGCAAAATGTCAAAACTGCGGGCGCAGCATCTCCGTGGGCGCTGCATGGAGCTGTATGTGTGCAGAGGCTGCCTGTGGTGTCTCAAGACAGGAGCCCCATAGAGGAGGAGTTCATGGAGCTTATGCATAAGGTATGAAAGAATCAGTATGCACATTTAAACTATTATTATTGTTGTTTAATTATTATTCTAAATGCACCATGTTCGTACCATATTTTTGGACGTGGTACAATCAATGTATGTATTGTGGTACTAGTACAGTACCGGTGTTGTGCCGAATTTCGACTGCCTGCCAAATTATTACCCCCCTCGTTGAAATCAGTACCTGATTGCCTAATCCTAACCCCTCCCCTAATCCTAACCCCTCCCCCAAAACTTATCCTAAACCTACAATACTAGGGGGGTCAGAATTTGGCGGGGGTCAGAATTCGGCACCACACCTGTCAAAAGTTTGGACACATTACTATTTTTATTGTTTTTGAAAGTCATCAAGCATACATTTATTTGATGAAAAATATAGAAAAACAAAACAAATATTGTGAAATATTATTACAATTTAAAATAATGGTTTTATTTTTTTTTATATACTTTAAAATATCATTTTTTTCTGTGATGCAAGCTGAATTTTCATCAGCCATTACTCCAGTCTTCAGTGTCACATGATCCTTCAGAAATCATGCTAATATGCTGGTTTGATATAGTCTGGCTATCACCAGACCAAGCTCAATCTTTTAAGATCAAATCGCCGGCAGATCAGGCTGGTTTTACCCAGTCTAGGTTTGATACTCAGTTATTATCAATGTTGAAAACAGTTGTGTTGCTTGAATTTTGATTATTTTTTTTTTTACCTGTGATAGTTTTTTCAGGATTCATTGATGAATAAAAAGTTGAAAAGAACAAATTTTATTTAAAATATAAGTCTTTTCTAACAATAAATCTTTACTAGCACTTAAAAAAAAAAAAAAAATGTAACACACACATGCTTGCTGAATAAAAGTATTAATCTCTTTCAAAAAAAGAAAGAAAAAAATTACTGACCCTAAACCTTTTAACGGTAGTGTATTTTTGTATATTTCTATTTTAAATAAATACTGTTCTTTTTTAATTTTTTATTCATCAAAGAATCCTGAAAAAAGTATGACAGGTTATAATTTTTTTATAAAGCTGCACAATTGTTTCCAACATTGATAATAAATCAGCATATTAGCATGATTTCTGAAGGATTATGTGACACTGAAGACTGGACCGGTACTGTATGTATGTATGTATGTAGCCTATATATATTTTCTCTTATTTTTCTTATTTTATTATTCTATGTATGTAGCATATTTTGAGGCTGTCTATATTTTTTTAGTATGCATGCATACACTAATAATGCTGTGCATCCTTAAATCTGCGTGCCACGAGCCACCTGTCAAACACATCTCATAAAGGATTGTTTATTGTTTCAGATGGAGTTAGAGAGAAGTCTGCTTGCGGACCATGAGTTGAAGCTCCTGGATGATGCTGCACGGATGAGTCGGAAACAAGAAGAAGATTATGATTCAGATGAGGAGGAGGATTACAAAGACAAAGAAATCGTTACAGCCCAAGATCTGGAGGATATTTGGGAACAGAAACTGAAGGATTTTCAACCAGCTCTGAGGTCACAAGGTGAGCAATATTTTTACGGTGTCCCCATAGAGTCAGTCGGCATGAAACGGGAGGTCTGTTAGTCTTGTCTTCCCAATTATGACGTATATCCGAGTAAAAAGGCTTCTCGAACAATAAAAAAATATAAGGCGGGACTAGGGCTGTCGCGGTGATGGAATTTCCCTTGCGGTAATTTTGAGTGGCTCAATAGCTTGATATGCGGTATTACCGCCATTTATTTATTTATATTTATTTGTTGCTATATAAATACGTGTTATGATGTGGTCAGCATACACAAAAACAATGTAACCGAAACTAAACAGCGTTTCTGCGCATTGCATTGAAAGGCTGTCACTCAGCGCACACATTGTTACGCCAACGGACTGTCTTTTGAGTGAGTCATTAAACGTTCATTCAATGAAAACGTTCAAAAAGCTGATTCCTTAAATGATAGATGTAATGAAACAAGGTATAATTTTTTAACTTTGAGCTCCACTTTTCAAGGCTCAGCTGGCCAGCAATGCTTCACTTTTGGGCAAAGCTGAAGCAATGCTTCACTTAATAAACCAATGGCATTGATTCAATGCGTGACTCGCTGCTTTCCCCCCACGGCTTCCTCGCGCTGTGTAATGCTGACAAGAGCTGCCACCATTCATGGTAAATACCCTTACACGTTAAAAGGATATGACAAATATTTCGCTTTCCTTGGAAACGGCAACCTTTTCACGAACATGACTTGACTTCAAAGACAGACGCAGGTAATCGCACGCGCTCAGTCGATCACATTCACTGTCTGTTTAGGCAAATCCACGAAGCCTCTGTACAAATCACCATGATAAACAGTCTTGTTATCATTATTAACTTACTTAACATTCAATACACATGGTACGAACTACGAAGGGTGGCCTTATGAAAAAAGAAAACGCGGTTCGCGGTTGCTGCGGTTACTTGCATTCCTCTGCGGTTGGCCTGTCAGTAGCGCGGTATTGCAATATTGCGGTTATCGCGACAGCCCTAGGCGGGACTTGATTGTGTCCATCGGGAATTGATTCGATTGATTGTGTTTTGCTGTATTGCTGTGATCTCATGTGAGTTGCATTTTGTCCCGCCCTCGCACCAGTAAACGCATCATTAGAGAAGAGAAGAGATGTCGCTGCAAGAGGGAGGGGAAGCTATTTTGATTAAAGATTTCGAGAGCACATGGATTATAAAATGAAATATTGATGTGCACAGATAAATCATTTATAATAATTCCATAAAAAACTAGAATTGTCAATTACGATTTCATGGTTGCTTTGACATAAGTCTTGTTTGAAAGACATTTCAGATTAAATTAAAGTCAATAATTTCATCCACCAAAATGACATATTTAAACGTTTTTTTCTTTGAACCAAAAAATCTTCATGCCTTAAAATAGCTTGAATGTAACTCTACACCCTTGCCTCATTTAGTATACACAGTTCTATGAATATGCAAATAAGCCCCGCCTCCACTCACTCACACCAGCTCAGAGATCCACTCGTTGACGTGATTGGTTACAAGGTAGTTTGTGATGTGACACGTCAGCGATTTCAAACAGCGTTTTTGGGACTGTCTTTGGTTAACTGCAGTTTTAAGGAGAAAATACTCAGCAATGGTGTTGACTTATGAATTTGCACATGGTTTGTCCTAAAACTTCTTTAAAAACACCACACAGACATATAAACAACATTAAAAGCTTGATTTTCACCACAGGGGACTTTCAAGCATGTTGAATTCATCTCTCAATGAATTACTCTACAGGTAATGACCAGAAAGACGCAAGTTCTTCAGAGCGTTGTTTATCAGACAGTCTCATATTGCTGGTGAAGAAGGATGTTGGCAGTCAAAAGCTTTGGCTCCTGCCTCAAATACAGTGGCAGATGGGAGAGACACTTCGACAGACAGCCGAACGTGCCCTTGCAAGTCTTCCAGGTAAGATTTCTATGGTAATATCCATTTAGACGGCTTCAGGTAGGTCTGTTTTCACTGTGGAGTTGATATCAGCTTTAAAGGAGTAGTTCACTTAACAATGAAAATTCTGTTATTATTTACTCACCCTCAAGTTTTTTCAAACCTGTATGAATTTCTTTCTTCTGCTTAACACAAAAGAAGATATTGGACCCCATCAACTGTCTGGTTACCAACATTCTTCAAAATAACTGCCTTTGTGTTCAGCAGAAGAAAGAAATTCATACAGGTTTGCAACAACTTGAGGGCGAGTAAATGACGGAATTTAAATTTTTAAGTGAACTATTCCTTTAACAGGAGCTGAAAATCAAACATTTTAACAACCGTAATCATTAGATGGCAGCCTTTTAACTGCTTAATCACTGATTTTTTTTTAACTCATTTCCAAGTTATGCACTAAATTGTAATATCAGGGAAATTCAGCCTGAAAATGATGATATGACAAGACTTTAATTCATAAATTGAATGTGCTTCAGGTTAAATTATTAGCCTTGTTTAAATCGACTTCTGTAGATGCTGATCTGAAGGCTACTTTCCTTGGTAATGCACCCTGTGGATTTTACAAATACAAATACCCAAAGGACGTTCAGAAAGAGGGCAGTGTTGGAGCCAAAGTGTTCTTCTTCAAAGCTGTGCTTTCCAGCCATAAGCACTTACCCCTGGAGAAGAATTCATTTGCCTGGGTAAAAAAGGATGAACTCCAGGACTTCCTGAAACCAGAGTACCTGAAACAAGTCAGACGCTTCATTATGGCTCTGTAATATGGAAAGAAACGGACATAATGGAGAATATGTTGGACAATTGGAAAACTTTTTTTTTTTTTTTTTTTACTAAGATTCCATGAGTCTGGACCCCAGATTCAATCTGATGATGGAATCTAACAATATGAGCAATGTTCAGATTGTCTTATAGGGGTTATACAGTATGTCCCATACACTTGTATGTTGTCACCTGCCCTGTATCTGTATATTTATTTTTCTTGCTTGTTAAATGGAAACCTCTGTGACAGTGTGCGCAATATTAAAAAGGGTCCATTTCATAGCATTATGATCTCATTGTTTTATGTATTTGCAAAATGTGGCATGAAATCATGTTTTCAGCAGGGTGAGCATTATATTGTGTGCCTTTCCTTACACTTTCGTTTCTTTATCAGTGCGCATATTTTGTCTTTTAAAGTGCTACCACTTGAGGGCAGTAGATGGACAAATAATAGTGGGCACAGATCATCCAGTGGGACCCCCTTCCCTCTTTTTAAAAAAGGATATCCAATTATGCTTTTGGTCGGTATATGTCTGTCTTGTCAAATTTAAATGCCTTGTACTTGGGATTTCTCTTATGCACTTTTATGTCTTTCTCTTGCTCAGCTGTCAAATAGTCATTGACTTTTGTGCTGCGCTGGTGGAAATGGGGATTAGTAATCCTATGAATTATTTAGGCACCTTGATTATGTAGGTCTCTAAAAATTGGCTGTAGACTTTCATTTCTGCCAGTGTTTTGGAGTTTGGAGAAGTTACTTTCAGAAGTCTTCATTAATAGTGCAGCTATGTGGGCTGTGCGGTGGGTGACTTTTTAAAGAGCACACATATACATGAGAAAGGAGCCAGATTTATAAGACTTAAGTGACACGTTTCTTTAGAAAAACCTCAGTGGGGGGATACGACCCACATGTTGCTTGACAATTTTTGCGAGATTAAGAGTCATGGTCCTCACAAGATGTGGTCAAGCTGTAGGCTACACTCCCTAATTTGTCATTGATCAATTTTCTTTCATGTTCAAATTAATAATAATTTGCATAAGTATTCACCCCCTTTAACTCAGCATTAGTTAGATGACAGCAATTTCAGCCTTGAGTTTATGTGGATACCTTTCACTGACCACTGCAATGTTTCTACATAATTGTTTTCCAAACTGCAAACTGAATTCTTCTTTCTGCAAAACTGGTATTTTCCTATTGATACATTCTCAATTGGATTGAGATTGATCTGGCCACTCCAGGATATTAAAGGGTTAGTTCACCCAAAAATGAACATTATGTCATTAATGACTCACCCTCATGTCGTTCCAAGCCCGTAAGACCTCCGTTCATCTTCGGAACACAGTTTAAGATATTTTAGATTTAGTCCGAGAGTTTTCTGTCCCTCCATTGAAAATGTATGTACGGTATACTGTCCTTGTCCAGAAAGGAAATAAAGACATCATCAAAGTAGTCCATGTGACACCAGTGGGTTAGTTAGAATTTTTTGAAGCATCGAAAATACATTTTGACAAGATTCCGGTTCTGTTGTTCTTGTTGACGCTGCTGACGTAAGACGCTGCTAACGTGTAATCTGGTGCGCCCGAGCTTCGTTTACAGTCTGAGGGAGACGCTGTAAACAAAACAATCTTCGCAAACATGTCTAAGGATTTCGACACAGAGGAAGACTTGCATTTTTTTGCCCAGCCATATTTATTTGAACCCGAATACACGGACACACCAGATAACACATCATCAGCGTCACTGCGGACTCGTGAACGCGGCTCGACAACAGAACCGGAAGAGAATACAATGCTGAATAAAGTCGTAGTTTTTGTTATTTTTGGACCAAAATGTATTTTCGATGCTTCGAAATATTCTAACTCACCCACTGATGTCACATGGACTACTTTGATGATGTCTTTATTTCCTTTCTGGACAAGGACAGTATACCGTACATACATTTTCAATGGAGGGACAGAAAACTAAAATATCTTAAACTGTGTTCCGAAGATGAACGGAGGTCTTACGGGCTTGGAACGACATGAGGGTGAGTCATTAATGACATAATTTTCATTTTTGGGTGAACTAACCCTTTAATATTGTCTTTTTAAGCCATTCCTGTGTAGCTTTGTGGCATTGTTTGGTTGGAAAGCAAATCTCCCAAGTCACGTGCAGTCTTGCAGTTTTCATACAGGATTTACTTGTATTTTGTGGCTTTTAAACCCCCACAAGACTTCAAGGACTTGCTAGTGTTTTTCAACTCAAGTCCTGGGGACTCACCTCCCAGAAAATGTTACACATCTCACTAATTAAAAGACCTGATTCAGCTCATCAGCTTCTTAGTGTGTTGAATAGGGAAATATCTAAAACATTCTGGGAAGTGGGTCCTGGGGACTGAGTTGAGAAACACTGCTCTAGCCCTTGAGCTGGGCTGAAAATCCTTTCCCTAAATTGATGTTCCGGCCTTTAAAAACTGCTTTTAAAGCTCATTATGCAATATTATGCCAAATATTGCATTCATTCTTTTTGTCAACTTGTTTTCTTTCAATTAGCACAGGTTTTGTATATCTTTCTGGAACTGATTGATAGTAGGCCTCATTGATCTGAGTTAATGAACTTCATTTTTTTTAGGTGAATAAGGTTGATTGAACTCTTATTTTTGTTTTTTTTTCACTGAAAAACTGAGGTGCATCAGCTCAGATCAATGAGGCCTACGATCAATCAGTTCCAAAAAGAGACACAAAACCTGTGCTAATTGAAAGAAACAAGTTGACAAAAAGATTGACTCCAATATTTGGTGATTAATATAGCATAATGAGAGATTTACAAGCAATGTGCCGGCCGTAGGGCACTCATTTTTGACCAGAAACACTGCAAGTGTAACAAGGTGGGGAGAACATCTAAAAAAAAAAAAGTACAAAAATAACTAGATTAGCTCCGGGTCAAAATGACCAGGACACAAGATAAAAAGCATCCCAACAGCATGAGACTGCCTTCATCATGCTTCACAGAAGCTGTGTAGTGTTTGGCTATATGCATTTTGTTTGATGGCCAGAAAGCTTCATTTTAGTCTCTTCAGACCACAGAACCATCTCTTTTAGCTGGCTCTTGGTGACCTTCCTGTTTACACAGGCACTTGGTTTTTGAGAACAGCCAGCTCTCGGTAGATTTACAGCAGTGCCGTGCTCTTTCCATTACTTAATTATTGATTTAACTCCAAGGGATATTCAATGACTTCTTGAAGTCTTCTTGTAGCCATCCCCAGACTTGTGCTTTTCAATTACTTTATCCGCTGAATTGCTTGGAGTGTTTTGTTGCTTTAATGATGTAAATTCTGCCACAATATTGACTCACCAGAAGTTGGATCTTCCAGTTCTTTTTATACAATCAATTGAAACTCTTCTACTATACACTAGGGATTTAACTATTAACTAGACGTATCTCTATTTAGGTGTCATATTAAAGGGGGTGGATATTTATGAAATCAATTAGATACATTTTTTGTTTTATTTTTAAATCCCTTTATATACTTTTTTTCTGTTGATCAGTGTCAAAAACAAAAGCCAAAGACGTCCACTGTGATTCATTGCTGTAAAGCAACAAAACGTGAAAAAGTATTTTATATATAGGCACTGTATCTCAAGTCTACCATTAATTCAGATATTGGCATTTTGTTCTGGGTTTATTAGTTCACGTATGCTTTCTGCACCTAAGCGTACTCAAGTGTCTAACCTAATAACGGTGAGAAAAAGAACATTATGCATGTTTGCTGGGAAGACATTTCAGCCCAACTCCCATTTCAAATTAAATTGGCCACATTTAGCTCATAAACACGCTTTACCTCAACAACCTAATTTATAATTGAAGGTTAAAACAGGGGCTCAGAGGTCTTAAGAGACATCTAAATGGAACAGGGAAAGCAATAAATGGGTGCAAGTATGAACCTTCCCTCCCTTTAAAGACCTGAAGCGCTGAGCTCAGCTGTATGAGATCAGTTGAGGTTATTGAGGGTATGTACCACAATTAGCTGATCAGCATGTTTTGTCCTCGCTCATGTCTCACACCTCTATCACGGTGCTTTGTCATATTGAGAATTAAACACTCTCTGACAATATTAGACTTGATATTAGACCTGCACTTTTTTTCCTCTCTTCTGTTTGTTTGTTGTTAGACACCAAGTCCCATTTCAAATTAAAGTGAATGACTGCCACTTAAAAACAAAGCCAAGAATCAATCGACCATTTATAATGCAGGGAACAATGCAACATCTTTGATTGTAAGTAATAAAGTCCCACGGGACAAATTTAACCCCAGTTAACCACTGTTTCCATTAGCTTTCTTGTTTTCTTTTTCTTTTTAATCCACAAAAGCCAACTTAATTGAACAGGCAAAAAGTCTATTGGTTTATAAGACTATGCTTATATTATATACATACCATGAAACTCCTTTGTGGGAGACCTCTCCTTAATATATATATTTCATTTTCATGTGTAAAGACTCATTTATACTATATGAGAAAGTGCAATATTACACAGACAACTTGTTTCCAAAATTACATAATTGGCTTTATATTGCCAAAACAAATTATATATATATATATATATATATATATATATATATATATATATATATAAACCTGATGAAAACATTTTCCATGTTAAACTTTTCTTAAACGTATATACATCACTGGAGATAAATAGAGAACTGTTTATTTTGAAAGAAATTAATACTTTTATTCAGCAAGGATGTATTAAATTAATCCAAAGTGACATACAGTGAAGACATTTATGTTACAAAAGATTTAAATTTGAAATAAATGCTGTTCTTTTGAACTTTCTATTCATCAAAGAAACCTAAGAATAATTATCCACAATTTCCACTAGTTAAGCAGCACAACTGTTTTCAACGTTTATAATAATTCATGTTTCTTGAGCAGCGAAGCAGCATATTAAAATGTGACACTGAAGACTGGAGTAACGATGCTGAAAATCCAGCTTTACATAACAGAAATAAATTACATTTTAAAATACATTCAAATAGAAAATGGTTATTTTAAATTAGAAATAATATTTCACAATATTACATTTTTTTGATCAAATAAATGCAGCTTTGCTGAAGAATGAGACTTCTTTCAAAAACATAAAAATAAATTCGCACCAACCCCAAACCGATTGAACGGCATTGTATGTTAAACATTTAATTAATATCTTAATTTAATCTGTTGACTTTTGTAATACATTTTAAAATCGGTTTCTTTTTCCGTCACATTTTTCCAAAAATTTAAAAATCAATTATTTTCACTAATGTT